GGGAGGAATGGTTGGTGTCAGAATAGGTAAAGGAGGACCGAAGGGTAGAGACATGGCCGACTCCTGCCTCGTGGCAATAGTGAAGCCAGAGGAGGTCAGATGTGGCCCCTGGTGTTTACTGCACTTTTGAAGAATTTCTTCAAAATAAGGAGGCTTGTTTATGGCTCTTTAATGTTGGAGGGCAAGCAGAGGCTTTTACTGATCTGCCCAAGCGCAGATACTATGTTAAGATACTGTGTTAAGAAAGAATTTGTTTTGTTTTAACCTATTCATTGTCGGTCTTACTCTATTTTTCGATAACCTTAAGATGTCCACCTTGCTAGGAAGTCACTTGACTCCTTCCTTTGACCTTCTTTGGTATTCTCTTGGGAATAAATTTAGTTACTTCCTGCATATACACAGAAAAGGTGGCTGCAGGACAAACTGTTGCTATTCCCAAAGTCAGAGATTTAATCCTGTGTTATGCACACTTAGGAGCCCTGGTAGCATAAGGGTAATGTGTTGGACTGCTAACTGCAAGGTTAGTAGTTTGGAACCAACAGCCAATTCCCAGGAGAAAGATGAGACTCTCTACTCCCATAAAGAATTATAGCCTTGGAAACCCACAGGGGTTTGGGTCAGAATCAACACCATGGCAGTGGGTTTGGTTTTTGGTAGGCATAGTTCGAAATCTTTTGGGAGTGAAATGTGGAGTCACAGGTCTTTTGAAAGCCTCGTTGTAAGCCCCTCATTCTTTTTGTGGCATGTAGCACCCCCCTTTTCTTGATGCACCTTTTAAATGAAAAAGCTTCTCCAAAGAGGCCACTGAAGGCCCACACTGTACATTTAGTCACAACAGGAAACAGGAATCATCCCAGAAGAAGAAAGAATTGGGACTTCATTCTATGAGAACTGGCCATGGTTGGTGTCAAGACCCCAACCTCATGGCTAGAGAAAAATCCAGACAATGCTTTCTTTGGATCAAAGCCAGCATCTCTGGACAAACTCGAGGCAGAATGAGAACCATATTCCGTTTAATAGGTAATCCACAGCAAAAGTTTGTCTGAACATGTGTTGGTCCTGTGAGAACCAAATACGTAGTGATTTGTGCGGCACACTCAGCATAAGGCTTACAGGACTATTTGCCCATGTTCTACCTAATGATTTTTCTTTTTATGAAAATCAACAGTTTTCTGACTGCACAACACAAAGAAAATGGGAACCGAGTCTCCTTAAGTGGCTACTGCTACGTCGAGCTGTCTCAGAACCAACCCATCGCAACAGAACAGCAGCAGCAACAAAATGCCTTTTGTTTCAGATTGTGTTGTATGTAAAATTCTTTTTCTCTTTTTTTGGGGTTGACTTTAATATTATAACATTTCTCCTTGTTACCAGATTCTAAAATGATTTAATGAATGTGCGGTGTTTCTTTATATGCTACATATAAAATTTATTTCACCATTTATTTATTGTAATTTAGTTGTTTCTATTTTGAAAAAGTAATTAGTAAAAAAAACTACCACAGATAGATTTTATTCTCTTTGGGATGTGTTTTTGAAAACTGACAATGGAACACAGTTAAATGCATTTCACATAGAAAAACTAAAACTAACTTTCTAACTTAGCTTTGTATGCAAGATGTCACGTTAATGTTTATAATAATTATTAACTTATATTTTATTCTTGATTAAGAGTTATTTAATTACTAGTAAAACAAAATAATCCTAAAATATAAAGTAGCTTGATGAGAGTACTTCTTAAGGATCAAAATTTACTTCTAAAAAATTTCTTTAGTAAGTGATTCCAGTGGTTTATATTTTACTCTTTAAGACATTTTTAATCCACCGGCAATGATTCAAATTGATGTTACAATGAAGCCATTTGTATAATTTTTCCTTTGATAATATATCATCTATGTTTAGTCACTATTTTTATACTTAAAAATATTTTTTGCTAAGTAATGAGGCTACACTAGAGAATAGAAACAGTTATTAAATGTTACTTTGTGTTCATAATTCTTTTATAAATTAAGATTTCATTATTTGCATTTAAAGGTGTACATTTCTACATATCATTCTGTAAAAGTGCACTGAGACAAATGAAACCCGCTACAGCTGAGCTGATTCCAACTCCTAGCAGTCCAATGGGACAGAGTAGAACTACTCCTTAGGGTTTGGGAGCCCTCAGATAGCTTGAGTTTCCCACTTGTCTTTTCTATTATTAATTTTTTGATTCCACTGTGGTCTGGAAGCATACTTTGCATGTATGACTTTTTGTTTTTAACTTGCTCGGGCATGTTTTGTGGTCCTGAATGTGGTCTATTTTGTCAAATGTTCCATGTGAATTTCAAAGGAATGTGTAATCTGTGTTGTTGGCTGAAGTATTCTATAAATGTCAATTAAATACAGTTGATTGATGATACTGTTCAGTTATATTATATTCTTACTGATTTTCTTCTTATTGAGTCTGTCAATTACTGATAGAGGCATATCAAAGTCTTGAACTATTATTTGAGAATTTCTATCACTGTGCCATCCTATCAGCTTTTGTCTCGTGTATTTTGACATTCTGTTATTGATTCCTTTATTATTATGTAATATTTCTCCTTATCCCTGATCATTTGTGTTCATTAGACATCTCCTTTGTCTAAAAATTAATGCAGCCACTCCATCTTTCTCTTGATCATGATAGCACAGAATATTTAAAGTGGATTTCTTATAGACAACATATAGTTAGACCTTTTTTTTATCCATTCTGACAGTCTTTCTCTGTTAATTGATATAGTTCATTCATTTACAAAGTGATTATACAGGTGGACTAATATCACATATTTGTAACTGTTGTTTTCTATTTATTGCCTTTGTTCTTACTGTCTTGGTTCTGCCGTCTCCCACTCTGTGTGTACGTATGCCTCTGTCGTCTTAACTGAGCTCTGAGATGGTGCTGTTTCCTCCCTCCTGAGTCTATCAAGCGTGTTACTATTGTCGTTGATTGCAATGAAGCCAACCCCTAAATCACAGTGACCCCATGCATAACAAGGTCCACAGCGTTTCCACTGACTAATTTTTGGCAGTCGATTGCTGGATTTTTCTTCCTAGTTTATCTTAGTTTGGAATAACTGCTGAAAACTGTTCCGCATCACAGCAACGTGCAACCCCCATTGGCAGACAGGTGATGGCTGCGTGCGATGTATTTTGGCTAGAAACCAACGGAAGGTCTCCTACATGCAAGGTGGGAATTTTATCTCTGAACGACTATTTCTAAGTTGTTTCCTCATATTTTCAAGATACATTCACAACTGATCTAAGTCTACCTTCAAACAACACTTTGTCACTGGTAATGTAGGTACTTTACAATTCCTCCCTTCCAGCCCTTAGGCCATTGCTATCATTCATTCCACTTATCTATAAACTTTAATAGCTCAATACATTACTATTATTATTTTAAAAAAGGATTATTAGTGAAATCTAGAAAAGAAAAAGATTTATTTCTTTTCTACTGCTATTCCAAGGAGCCCTGTAGACACAGTATTGGGATAAACATTGGACTGATATCTGTAAGGTCTCTAGTTCAAAATCATTAGCTACTCTGTGGGAGAAAGATTTACACTCTGCTCCCTTAAAGAGGTACAATCTTGGAAACCCTAAGGTGCGGCTTTGTTCTGCCCATGCATCACAATGAGTTGGAATCAACTCAACTGCAGTGGATTATTGTGTGAATGCTTTTCCTTTCTTAAAGTAAAGTAGAATAAAGGGAAATGATGTAGGGAAGTGGGAGAAGTTTCTATTGGCATGTCTTCAAGCTCAGAGTCTTTCCTTGACAATGTCCAGGTAACTGATGAACTTATCAACAGCCTTTAAATTTATGTTAGTGCTTTTTATCTCTGAGTTTTCTTTGGATTCCTTTTTGTATGTTCCTGCATGCTATGTCCATCCCTCCATCCCCTCCTCCCTTTTTAATTTAGTGTTCTTAGCATATTAAGCATAAACCCAAACCAAATTCACTGCCGTCAATTCCATTTCAACTCGTGGTGACCCTATAGGACAGAGTAGAGCTGGGTCTGTGGGTTTCTGAGACAGAAACTTCTTAAAGGAGTAGAAAGTCTCATCGTTCACCATCGGAGCAGCTGATGGTTTTGAACTGCTGACCTTGCAGGTTGCAGCCCCGCACATAACCATTACACCACCAAGGCTCCTCGGATTAAACCTTAGTGACTTTAAATTCCAGGTCTGATCATTTCAAACGACTTGCCTTCTCTGAGCCGAGTTACTTGCTTTGCCTCTGTAGATTGTGTTGCTTTTTGCCTTTAACATGCCTCCTTGACGTTGAGTTTTTGGAAGTAGGACATAATGTATTGGGTAAAAAGAACCAAGGCAGATTTTCGTTCAGGGTGAGGTTTTAGGTGTTCCTCACTAGAAATTGGGCCGTGTTTAGTTTGCTTTCGCGGTGATATCAAGGTTAAATTTGTAGTCTTCTGTGTTTGTCTCCTCCTGTGGCTTGGGTTTCCCTAGAGACTGCTTCTTAAATATGATTTTTTTTTAACCTGTAATCCTCTTTTACTTTACAGACGTCCTATTGATGTGGGTGTAAGGTGTCTGGTGGCAGAAAGCTTTCCATGGCCCAGTGGTTTAATCTCAGTCTTCTGGTGAGCCTGGGCCCTGGGTTGTGACTTCATCAGATCGGAGGCCTCTATGTACTTGGCATGGGTTAGTTTGTTAGGTAGTCTAGCGTAAGACTGGGGCGTCCATGAACGTATGCCCATTGGTCCGAGCTTAGGAAACAAAGGAGTGGCACACTGCACATGCTCAGAAGTTCAGGTTTCCCGCCAGGTACGTGTGGGTGGGCGCTGCACCTGGATTGGCCCACCTAGGCCGGGTGAATTCAATTCAGCCAAGGGGGTCGACCAGGGGTCATCCATCACGCCTCCCAGCGGAATCATTGAAAAGGCAGGAGCCTGGAGCCCACCGCATGACTTTGCGAGCAGTTTCCAGGCAGGCCGCATGCCGTGTGGGTGCCTGTGTGAACCTGAAACTTCTAATGCTCGTCAAACTCACTTGGATCACAAACCAGGCTTCAGCGTGATTTCTTTCTTGTGTGGAGACAGGGACCGAGGTATGTCTCTCCCCAGAGAGATCTAGCAATTTCACTTTCTCAGGGATGATTCGGCTTCGAAAAACCCGAGTCCATTAGATTTCGGTAAAATAGTTCCCTTTTCACGATGTTAAGGGGAACAGACAGGCCTGGTGTATTAAAAAATGGTACTCCCCCCCGCCCCTTTCTCCTCCTTTTCAGTGAGAACCTCCTGGGGTCCTCGAGGCTGGAACTCACGAAGTCGGAAGCTGCACAGACTGGTTCCCCAAGCCAGTGCACACAGCCTCCAGCAGTTTGCCCGTTTCTGTTGTGTTCTTCCCCGTGCCCGGCTTTGGCCATCTGCTCCTGGTAAGCTTAATGCTCACTCTAGTTTCTCTGTGACTCGAATACTACTCCGATTGATCTAAAAGTTGTCGGTTTTCAATTCGTTCCATTGTTTTCTTGTTAAGAGAATAGGAGTGATGACTTCTAAGCTATTTACATCTCAGCCCCGCCTCCCTCTCCTCTATTTTTGGTTTTTGTTCACATAGGCCCAATGCCTGGCATATACAGACATTCAGTAAATATTTGTTTCTGTTTACTTCATTTCAATCATTAGTTTTTAATCTGTCTGAATTTCACAACTATTGTGCAATTTCACATTGTTGCATTGAATTCTATACTTAGACTCTATAAATATTTTTACATGCTGATGTGTGTAATCAGGGCAAGGGATATTTAAACTGACACATGGTTTTTCTTTACATCAGAACTAGAAACAATGATTTTATTTTGTGGCTTTAGGAAGAGTACACGTTTGTGTGTGAACATCAGCCTCTGTTCTCAAAGACTGGAAGAGCTACAAAATGAGAGAGTCTGTGGTTGTTAAGACAGATGCCCGGCTTACGGCAGGAGTAAATAGGATTTTGTGGCTGGCACCTAATTTGGGGGAAGATCAAAAAGGATGAAAAGGAAATCTATCCACTGGTGGAAAAAATGAGTATGGGGCCTTCCTGATCATCATTAAAACTTTGACCAGATGCAGCCGTCCGTCCGTCTGTCCTGCTGGGGAAGAGGTCTCTAGTGCAGGGTTCTGGGTTTGACCTGCCACCAGGGGCACCAGGAGAGTGCCCCAGAAAAAGCAACAGCTTCGCCAGCTCAGCTGACCTGCCATAGCGCCGAGGCACACTGTTTAAAACAGGACCAGGTGATTCAATAACTACGAAGAGCTGGGCTGTAGTTCAGGATAAGATAGGTGTAGCTTATTATTTTTTTAAAGGATTGGGTTAATGGGTTTATTTTGAAAATGAATGGGTTAAAAGAAATCGGAGAAAAATTGTAGTAATGCGTTGAAAAAGAATACATTAGAAAAGGGAATGGAGAACAGGCATATCTTTCCACCTGAATATTGAAATTTTATGGTCAAGAAGCTATATATGCTTCTGTTTATGATAGATGTTGGTTACAAATCTTTAAACTGACATTTCTTTGTTTAACCAGGAAAAAACCAATTTGTTTTGGATGACTTTAATTCTGATATCCTTCATTTTACTAGCTGACCATATTTCTTATGAGACAGCGATGTTGTGAAAATGCTTTTAAGAAATGATTGGGCTTATCTTTTCATATGGCTTATTTGCTATGTCATGTTGTTTATTTTGTATTGAAAGTAAAAAGCTCCCTATACAGCCTCTAAACCATCAGCCATGGCAGTTGCCTGCTAAAGGGAAGAAATCTTGAAAGGGAAAGGAAGATATGAATTCTTTCTGGGAAAAGTTGGTCTGAAAACGAGTTCTGAAAACTCAATAATTTCTCTAGGGAGGGAGGGTCAGATTTTGTCCAAACATTGGCTGTCTTCATTTTAAAAAGTCAGCTGCCAGTGTTTCCACTAAAAACCACTAAGAGCTGTCAAGAATCAACCAGATGGCAGCTTACCTGCCTTGATGAAACGGGAAAATTAAAACAACATGCGAATGGGAACGCATGAAAGAAAAGCAGTATTTCAATATGCTTGCTTCCACTCGGAGCATTTTAGAAAGGAACGTGTATATTCAGGGTTGCAGCCTATGTTTAATGTATCTTTTAATGGTGCTTTCAACCAAGAATAAATTCCCAAAAGATATCTTCGTGGGTAAATCAAGAATAAAAGGTAGAGATTGACTTTTGGTATGAAATAAAGTTGAATTGCCAGGAGCCAGCAAATGATTATTTATTAACACGTTAGTCCTGGTGGCATGGTGATTACATGTCGGGTTGCATCTGTTTGATTGGAAGTTCCAGACCACTAGCAGATCTGCTGGAGAAAGACTGGGCTTTCTACTCCTGTAAACAGTTACAGTCTCAGAAACTCACAGGGGGTCGCTATGAGTCAATATCGACTTGATGGCCGCGAGAGAGTGAGCCAAGAGCAGTTGTGAAACACCATATGCTTGCCGTTATGGCTAACCTTGAAGAGTTTCTCAATTTTTTGCAAATTTACTTTTGTTCAGTTAGTTAACAGATCTGAGCACCCACTTGTCCAGCAGCTGCTGGGAATATAAGCTAGGATAAATTCCTGTGTCATTAGGCTTTTAGTCTAGGTCAGTGGTCAACAAACTATGACCCACTGGCCAAGACTAATCCTTCGCTTGAGACACAATCAGGTTCACTTTGTGTGCATTTTGTCTATGGCTGCTTTCAAGATAAAACAGCAGAGTTAGTAATTGCAACAGAGATTGTATGACTTGCAAAATCTAAAATACTCTCTGGTCTAGGTTAAGTAAAAGTTTTCCAACCCCTGGTCTTGATTCTTTATGAAGCAAGAAATCTAGGATGGAGAAAATAGAGGAGACCCAAAACAGTAAGCCCTGCATTGGAAAAAGAATTCATTGTCATACATATATTAGATACTTAAAGAAAAATAGATTTTATTTATTTTTATTTTGCCTTTTTAAAATATACTTCACATATCATGCAATAGTTCTGTCACATTCAGAAGAGTTGTGCAGTCATCACTACAATAAATTTCAGAACATTTTCTTCTATCTTGTACTTATTATTAGCTCCCCATCCCCTCCCTCCCCTAGGTAATTATTAATCCTTTTACTACCTCTATAGATTTACCTATCCTGGATTTCGTATACAGAAAAATCATACAAAACACAAACAGGAAATAAGCAAACAAAAAACAATGACAAAAAGAAAACAGAAAAATCTCAGTAGAAAAACTGACAGAAAATATTAAAGACTGAAATGACTTTAAAATGTGTCAAAAGGGAGAGAAAATGATAAGATGTTACATTTTAATCTAACTACATTTGCCTTTACAGTGACTGCCTGATAGCAAGGCTATTCGTATCCCTAGACAGAGAGTCAGCAGGGATTCAACAGAGGCTTAATCCTTGTGGGGATACTAGGTATCAATTTTGGGCTTCCACTGTCATCCATAGCCCTTTGCAAACCAGGCGTTCACAATTTAAGCTCTTTCTTACTTCAGATTTGGATTTTAGTAATTACAATCCTTGGATCACACAGGCTGGTGCGCTTCTTGTGGGCTTAGTTGATGCCTCATTCGATGGCTGTTTGTTTGAAGACAAGCCTTTAAGAACTCAGGTGCTATTCTTTCTGATAGCCTGGCACCATCTGATTTCTTGACCACACTTTGCTGTAGCACCCCTGACTTCAGTGATCTCCCCATCATCTTAGAGGGCCAGGCCATAAGAATTAAGTGCTCTTAGATCAAGACTATGCTTAAGTGCGAGCCCCCAATCCATTAACTTATCTGTTCACTTTAGAGACATCATTATCGTGAAAAATAGATTTTAAATACATAGGAAATATGTTTTCCTGACCAACTTAAACTTTTATAAAGCCACATTTGTTAATGACTTTAAGGCCACATAGTTGCTGCTGTGTGGGACAGTTTTAGCTTCTTGTTTGCAATTAGAATCTAGTCTATGATCACAGGCTTAGCCATGAACTCTACTATACTTGGCTGCAAATTTATGATGTTGACTAGAAGAAGGGAGAGAGAGGTTGATTTAAAATATAGACAAACATTTAAACAAGGCAAAACAGAAAACAGCATGTCTCTTTTGGACAGTGGACTCAGAATGTCTTTTTTAGCGTCAACTGCACAATGAGTGCGGGGGAAGACACAGCAGACAGAAAACCTGCAACGAAATGGTGACATCTCGAAGGTAGTCTCTTCATTTAGTAGTAGTTAGTAGAGGTGGTAAATGTCACAGCCGCTTCAGTCGCCCCTTGGAAGCTATTTCAATTGACCAAACTCAAGATTCTCATTTTGTGGGACAAGATTTGGAGACAGATGCTTAGTGCCTGGTCTGAACCTCTTGATTGGTATAGTTTGAGCAAGTCTTTCATTGTCCCTGTAACTAACCTTGTTTCTAATTTGGGGCTTTGGAGTACAAGAAATGAGACTTTAATGTGGATGACTATTCATATAGGACAATGATTCCATGCCACCTTCATGGTGTCCAAACCTGTGTCTTACTTTCAATGCCATTGACTTATTTCTGACTCACAGCGCCCCCACAGAACGTGGTAGAACTGCCTCTGTGGGTTTCTGAGACTGAAACTCTTCACTAGAGAGGAAAAGCTTGTCTTTCTCCCATGGAGTGGCTGGCGGTTTCAAACCGTGAATCTTGCAGTTAGCAGCCCAATGTATATCCACTGTGCCGCCAGGGCTCCCCCAAACTTGTAGAGAGCAGGCAAGTAGCTTGCCCTTGCAGCTCTCTTATGATGGAGATTCTCACAGCCCCTGAAAATTGGCAGTAAAGAAACTTCTGTGCTCTCTCTGCCACAGTAGGGATGCTATTTTTTATAGAGTGACTTGGATCAATGGCCTCAGTGGCAGTACTTTTGGTTGGGAGAGAAGGTGAGAAAATGAATAACTCTTAATTTCATTGATTCATGAAAGAATGCAAGGTCTCTCTCGCTCTTTTCCATTCAAATTAGGTTTGCTTGTTCAAAATTGGTGAAACAGAAATTGTCTGGTTTTCAGTAAATAGGGGTGACCAATTGAAGCAAATGGCTTCACTTGATCCAGGAAAAAAAATTAAGTCAATATTCAGTATAAGATGTAGAGAGAGAAAGAATGTCCGAGCAGAGTAAATTTATTTAAAATGATGGAGTTTAGTGGATTAGGTGAAATATCTAGTTTCAGGACTTTGGCCTTCAGTCTGGGCATTGTGAGCTCATAGAATGTCACTCTAAGTTAGCTGTCTGCATCCGCTTTGCCTTGACTGTTTCTTTTCCTTTTCCTTCCATTCTTAACAAAACCAAGCTTCCAATTGACTAAATATGTAACTCTTCCTGTTTTCTCTGCTATTTAAAAGAGACACTGGGAATTTGGGGAACTGTTTCAAATC